AGATGAGGCAAACCCAGGGCCAGCTCCAATCTATTATTTAGACTCCCCATCCTCTCTCTACCCTGTTCATATGTCAATGCCGACACATCATTTTAGTTTCAGAGTCTCACGAAAGCAGAACAAGTATAAGATTGCCAAATGACCAATCCTATATATGAGAACAGCTCAGGAGGAGCAGCTCAGTGAATAGTCAACAACAATTTTTCCTCACATTGCAATGACTTCTGTGTGACAGAAGATGCCTTTGAAATGGGCTATTGAACTGTCTCCAGGAGCATCTGCTATGCCAACGAGTGTAATCTTGTTCCAGTATCAGTGCACTTATCACTGGGTCTTTGCTGATACAGCAGCTCTAGGCACCAATATAATTTTTTTTCATCTCTATTTCTGAACGTCTTGCTGCAGTGACTTTTTGCCTAATATCACATTAATTCTTTAGGGAAATGCTGCTATTCAGCAGATATAGAACATTTGGGAGTATTTGCAAGGGAGGTTCTAGGCATAGGGGAGCAAAACATCTCACACATAGTCTCTTGGAAACTGAGTTTCGTGATCCTGCAGTGTTGCAGTTTCCTTCAGAAATCATTCTCCCTTCACTGAGAGAAACTGTACCAACAATCTCAGCTTGGTGCTAGTGACTGTTCAACTTGGAGAGAATTCAAAGCACCAGAAACATCATTAAGAGGCTGCGGTGAGTGCCTTAGAGGAAAGATTAAAAGTCTGAAATACGTCTGGCTTGTGTTTAAGATGGCTTACTATAGATATCACAAAATTATCATAGAACGGTTTGGATTGGAAGGGACCTGAAAGATCATCTAGTTCCAATCTCCCTGACTTAGGCAGGGACCCCTTCCACTAGATCAGGTTGCTCAGAGCCTCATCCAGCCTGGCCTTGAACACCTCCAGGGATGGGGCAGCCACATCATCTCTGGGCAACCTGGTCCAGTGCCTCACCGCCCTCAGAGGGAAGAATTTCTTCCTTATAGCTAATCTAAATCTAAGTTTTATATCTAATCTAAATCTAAATTTCTTCCTTATTTCTAATCGAAATCTCCCCTCTTTCAGTTTAAAGCCATTGCCCCTTGTCCTGTCACTACACGCCCTCGTAAAAACTCCCTCTCCAGCTTTCTTGTAGGCCCCCTTTAGGTACTGGAAACTGCTATGAGATCCCTCTGGAGCCTTCTCTTCTCCAGGCTGAACAGCTCCAAATTTTACGCAACTTTTAAAGCAAATTTTAAAACTTGCTTGAAAAATTGCGCTCCACCTGTGCAGTGCCAACAGATTGTTACTCAGAATAATGAGATGGAGTCAGTAAAAGTGAGGACCGAGTCTAGACACT